ACACACACACACACACACACACACACACACACACACTTGGTTCTTTGAGACAGAGTTTCTCTGTGTAGCTTTGTAGATCAGGCTGGACTTGAACTCACAGAGATCCACCTGTCCCTGGGATTAAAGGCTGCACCACCACTGCCCGGCTAAGAGATTTGCTCTTATATTTAGCTATCTGTGCGTGTGTGTGTGATGGAGACATGTGCATGTGAGTGTAGGTGCCTCTGAAGGCCAGAAAAGGGTCCTATCCCCTGGAGCTGCAATTACTGGGCGCTGTGAGCTACCAGATGCTCAAAAACATACTCAGGTCCTCTGCAAGAACAGTGCATCGCTCTTAACCACAACTTTCTCTCTCCTCTGCTTCTCTCTCTTTCCTTCATTGTTTCCCTCTCTCTTTCTTTGTTTTTTTAATCCCTAGGGTTGACTGTACTATAAATTGTTGTTGTGTTGTTTGTTTTCTAAGACAGGACTAAGACAGTAGTGTTCCGGCCAGAACTCAGAACGTAGACAATGCTGGCCTCTGCCTTGGGGTGCTGGTATAAGAGGGATGTGCTACCATACCCAGCTCTCTCCCAGAATTAGAAAAAACGGGCTTTAAATTATTTTTATTTGTGTGTGTGTGTGTGTGTACATATGTGTGTGAGGCTGCCTGCAGAGACCAGAGGTACCAGATCCCCCAGAGCTGGGCTTACAGGAAGTCGTGAGTGGATTGACAGAGGCGCTGGGTTTGGAAATTGTGTCTTTTGGCAGAGTAGCAAGTGTTCTTGACTTGGGGGGAGGGGAGACCTCCCCATCCCCTCTCTGAGAATTTTTAAGAGAAATTTTATCACACCATGTTTTATTTATAAGTTCTCATTACATTGGCCAATCTAGGCTTTAAATTCCTGAACTCCTTAAGCAATCCTCCTGCCTCAAGGCCTTTTGAGTGACTGGGACTATGGGTGTGTGCTACCATGCCATGCTAAGAAAACATAGTGTCTCACATAACAAGTCCTAAGTAGGGCAGCTTCAAAGCTGCTTCATTCAAAGACCCAAGGAGTCCCTTTAATCATTCGGCTTTGCCAGATTCAGGGTGTCACTTGTGTCCATAATTTGGCTCCAGAACTTCCAGGTGCCACCTTTAGCATGCAAAGTCCAGAGGGTTGCCTTTTTTCAAGGTGGCGAAATGCTGGTTCCAAAGAGCCACCTAGCAAGATTTCTCTCCCAAGTTAGTGTCTCAATAGTTGGTTTGAGATCAGCCCACACGGAAAGCCATCTGCAGTAGGGGAAGGTGTCATAGTTAGGGTTTCTGTTGCTGCAATAAAACACCGTGACCAATGAGCAAGTTGGGAGGAAAGGGTTTATTTGGGTCACACTTCCACAGCACTGTTCATCACTGAAGGAAGCCAGGACAGGTGCTCAAACAGGGCGGGAACCTGGAGGCAGGAGCTGATGCAGAGGCATGGAGGGTGGGGTTACTGGCTTGCTTCCCTTGGCTTTTCTTAGAGAACCCAGGGCCACCAGCCCAGGGATGGCAACACCCACCTTGGGCTGGGCCCTCCGCCCGTGGGCCACTTACAGCTGGGTCTCATGGAGACATTTCCTCCACTGAGGCGCCTTCCTCTCTGATGACTCTAGCTTGTGTCTCTTTGGTGTACAAAACCAGCCAGTCCAGAGGCCACCACGACATTAACCCCTGAGCCACCTGCCATTGCTTGTTTTACTCAGAGAGGATTCTTGGGCTTAAATGTTCAGTCATCATTAGCAAAAGATGCTAATTCATTCCCATTTCACTGAGGACAAACCTGTTTCAGAGTGGCTACTTGAAACATTAATAGTCATACAAGAGCCGGGCGTGGTGGCGCACACCTTTAATGCCCCTGCTCAGGAGGCAGAGGCAGACTGACCTCGGTGAATTCCAGGCCTGCCTGGTCGTCTACACAGTGAGGCCCCGTCTCAGGGAGCTCAGTCATGAGGGAACAAATGACAGGGACTGCCTGTCCCACAAGGTCACGCCTTTTCCATGTCACCCAGACCCCGTGTTATCTGTCACTGTGACCTTTAGGATGCCTCTGTGATGGCTTATCTTATGCCTTAGCATGCAGTAGGAACGCTGCCTGCCATTACAGGCACAAAAATGTGATCATATCATGCGTGCTGTTTCATGACATACATGCGTTCTGATATGTTGACTGATTTCAGGAGAGAAACAAAACAAAACAAAATGGGCCTCCTTCCTTGTTTTATTCCTTTGGGGTTTCATGTGAGTTAACTCTTATCTCTGCTTAGTAACTAAATGAGGCCTTTATGAAGAGGTCAACTATTATCAACCTTTTGCTCAAAACCTGTTTAAAAAAGTTAATAGAAGAGTGACGTCACTGTGTTTGTTATGCTTTTACATTTTCTTTTCTCATGGCTGGGGATTGAACCCAGGGCCTCACACACTAGGAAAGCACTGCACCTCAGTCACCGCTACCCTTTAGAGGAGAGTTGCCAACACTCACCCGCCCTCCATTCACACAGCCAGGAAGCACAGAGTTTCTCATTGTATTGCTTTTCTCATTGCTCAGACAAAGCTTTGTATGCATTTACTAACCTTTCAGCATGTTCCCCAATTAACACGGGCAGAAAAGGCATTAGTGAGAACCTGCACCAATAGGCTGCTACGCCAGTGGGAAAGGAAATGGGTGGTGATTCGGGGCGACAATGAGTCCTTTCCAAACTGAGACTTCGTGACCTACTTTATTCCTTCTACCCCTTCCTTGAGTTCTAAATGTTTAAAAACGTTGGAGTTTTCACAAATTCTGATTTTTGTGAAACTTAAATTCAGCTTTTATTAGAAATGCTGCTATGTTAGACTGGCGTTGGTGGCGCACACCTTTGATGCCAGCACTCAGGGAAGCAGAGGCAGGTGAGGCCAGCCTGGTCTACAAAGCAGGTTTCAGGACAGCCAGGGCTACACAGAGAAACCCTGTCTGGAAAACACACACACACACACACACACACACACACACACACACACACACACTGCCGCTATGTGAAAAATATAGAACTATGACAATTATGCTGCTTTTGCTTTTTGTTGCTTGAAAGTAGGGACATTACACTGTTATCAAATCATACTTTTTTTTTTTTAATCTTCAAGGACAGGGTCTCCCTATGTACTCTAGGTGACACGGAACTTCCTGTGTGGACCAGGGCAGCCCCAAATTCAGAGATTTGCCTGCCTCTGCCTCTAGAATGATGGTTTTAAAGTGCCAACATGCTGGACTTTAAAAAAAAAAAATATATATATATATATATATTCCCCCCCCCCCGTGTGGTAGATTACAGGGTACTTTAAGCATATTTCCCCTCGAAACAATCAAAGATGGAGTAATTTATTCTGGGTAAGGGACTTCACCCTTTCCATTTAGAATAAAACATGTTTGATAAGTTAACACACCCCTTACTCAAACTGGAGTATTTAATGAAGACACTGTTGTTGCGATATGGTAATATTTGAATGATGTAACAGTAAGAGTCAAACAAGACAACTCCTGCATCAAGCGTCCTCTTATCTTATATCTGTCTATGTGAGAGATAACACAAGGAACCAGTTTATACAGTACAGTTCGATCATCTTTCCAGTCGCCAGGTTGCCGGGTGCCTGGGAAGAAGTCTTCAATGGAAAGCCATTAAAACAGGCTGTGACTCTGAGGTCCCTCTGGGTGAGTAAGCCTGGAGAAAGGCGGATTAGCCAGTCTCCGTTCTGGGTAGAAGAGAGGACGCAGATCTTTTCTTTCTCTTAGCCTTCTCTTTCTCTTCAGCAAGGAAATGAATAGGATTTAAGTCGTCGTCCCGTCCGCTGGGTGGTGGTGCGCGCTTTTAATCCCAGCACCCGGGAGGCAGAGGCAAGTGATCTCTGAGAGTTCGAGACCAGTCTGGTCTACGCAGCTAGTTCCAGGACAGCCTCCAAACCCACAGAAAAACCCTGTCTCGAAAAGCCACAAAAAACAAATAACAACAACAAAACAAACAAACAAAAAACCGACCCTGAGGTGACTCAAAGCAAAGAGAAGGACTCATTTTTAGGAAGTTTAGCTACTGCAAGATTTTTTTTTTAAAATTATTTTTCAAAAGGAAATTGGTGTGTGGGTGTACAGGGTACTCTGATCTACTTGCCCCCAGCGACATTTACAAAGTGCATTTAACTAAATGCATCGGATTGCACTGAGATTATGGATTTGCCTCTCCTCTGAAACCTCAACGTCTTTAGCCATCCACAACACGGGGAGGCGGGAGAGCGCGGGGTGGGGGGGACGACCCAAAGTTCAACCGGAGAGGATGTTTTATTTCAAACAAGCACAACCCGGACGCTCTTCCCCACCCACCTCTGCTAATTTATAACGGTCAGGGAGGGACGAGCAGCACGCCCCTAGGTGTACGGGCTCGGCCAAGCGCGATCCCGACGGAGAGAGTGGAACAAGTCCTCCGGTGCATTCCCGCCCCCTCCTAAACTTCGCTTCCAGCGGCGGGGGACGGGAGGGTCACCGTGGAATTTGCAATTTCCGGGAGGTTGGGGGCAGCACTGGCGAGCGCAGTCCCAGCGGGGGTGGCACTCGAACCCGACTTCCCCTCGCCGCGCACCGAAGCTAGGCCAGAGGGGCGTGGCTAGGGGGACGGGGGCGGGGCTCCACCTGCGCGCGCACGCGGAGCGGCGGCCGGTGGGGGCGGGACCCGGGCGGAGCTTTGACGGGCAAGGGGCGGGGCCTGCGGTGGGGCTGGGCTTGGCGGGGTCTTGGCAGGCCCGGGGGCGGGGCTTTGACTGGGCGGGGCCCGGCTCGGGGTGGGGTCTTGGTTGGCCGTGGGCGGGGCCCGGGAGGGGCGGGGCCACGGCTCGTCCGAGCTGGGTGGCGCCTGGCGAGGGCGGCGGAGCCTGCGGGACGGGACCAGACGGCTTGATCGGCGGCCGCAGCTGCAGCAGGACGGCCGGCGGGCGGCTCGGGGCCGCGCGCCGGGAACCTCCCGGGGAGGGCGGGCACCTTACCCCTGCCTGGCCGCCTGCGCCCCCGGGAGGCCCACTGCGCGCGAGACAAGCAGCATGAGCAGCGGCTACAGCAGCCTCGAGGAGGACGCGGAGGACTTTTTCTTCACCGCCAGGACCTCCTTCTTCAGGAGAGCGCCTCCGGGCAAGTCCCGCTCGGGTCAGCCGGTGAGTGGCGTGCGCGGGGTCCCGGCCCCACGTGTCGTCTACCCCTCCCGAGCTTGGCCGATGCTCGCCTGCCTGCGGGCTTGCGGGGTGCGGGGAGTGGCCCCTGCCCTTTCGGATCCTGAAAGGTGCTGGAAACTTGTGCAGTGGGCGTGGGGCGCCCGCGGCGAGGGAAGGAGGTGGAAGGCCAAGCAAAGCAGCCAGATGGCCTGGGCCGCTCTGCTCGGGGACGCGGACTGCTGGAGCAGCTCCGGGGGCTTGGCGGTCCCCGGGCCACTCGGATGGCTCCTTCGGCAACCATTCAGGGGCAACGGCCGGGGCCCCGCGCCGTCCTGGCTGCAGTCCGCTCGATGGCCGTGAGTGGCCCGAGGGCACGCAGTGAGTGGCCCGGGGTGGCCGAGCAGCCCCCAGAACGGGCAAGCTGTGCGGCGAAGGGACCAGGGGATCGCTGAGGCTCACTGGAGTCTGGATCGCAGGACCCGAGCCTGGCGTTTCCCGTCAGGGCCAGTGTGCGGGTGCCGCGGACGTACTAGGTAGACTTAGCTCCAGAGGGCTGAGCTTTACGCCGGTTTCTTCCTTTTTTGGAGGAAGGGTGCCGTGGGAAGCGTGGCTTGGGAAAAGGCAGTACGGGAACTTGTGCCAGTTTCGCAGATCGTGACAGAGATTATTGTTTTTTAGGGAAGTCTTCCAATCGGGGCACCTTGGTCTGACTTGTAAGATCGGCGCTTGAACCTGTGGCCTTCTGGCTCGGGAAGCCGCACCAGGGAGTCTGTTTAGCCAGACCATGCTCTTATCAGATTTAGAGAATGCAACGGAACAAACTTGTTGTTCCTATAACACAACAGGCTTGCACCGGAGATTTCTGTCAGAGCTCTGGAGATGAAAAACAAGAGAAACCAACCGTTGAGGGGCCCAGTGACGGTGGGGGCTTTGCTTTGGTGGAGAGGACCTCTGCCCAGGTTGTCCTTGCCAACCCTTTTTAAGTTTAATGGAGTATTTTTTGAAGCAAAATTTCTTTATAAGATTTGGAAGTTCTAGTTTTTTTGGCCTATTAAATTTCCAAGCTAAAGGGAGGAGGAGGGTTTAGAAGTGGTCATATTCCTACCAACAGCCAACCCCTAGGGAAGGGCTGGAGGTGGGTGCTGTCTTTTATTTTCAGTAAAATGTGCTAATGGCATGAATTTGGAAGTCTTAAGATACTCCCCGCCTGGCGCCCACCCCCTGTGGGTTGGAGAGAAATGGCTCTTGTTCACCTTGTATTTTCTCTTTGTCGTTGGTCTTGATTTCCCTCCGCCACTTTGCATTTTCTCCTTGCATTTTTATGTTTGAAGCGTATTCCTGAGGTGACTAGCAGTTTCCAGAAATTTCCGCTAGAGTTCTTGAATTCTACAGGCGTGAGATTCTGCTCCACAAGGACCAGTCGGGATGTTGTGGTTGGAGTTAAGTTTAAGAATCCTTCCCTGCTCTTAAAGAAGTTGCTGCAGTAGGCTGGGGATGTAGGATCAGTTAAAGAGCTTGCCCTGCACTCACGGCTTAATCTGGATGGTGGTGGTTCACAGTCTGGGGTGTGTGTGTGTGTTTGTGTGCACGCCCGTGCGCGCTCGCAGAAGGATCAGCAATTCAAGGTTATCATCCATCATCCAAAACACACACACACACACACACACACACACACACACACACACACCAGCAGCATTTCTTTCTAGGATTATATACAGTTAGCCAGTTCAGCTGGTATGCATTGGCTTATAAGTCATCTAGCATGTGTATGTGCATGCCTGTCTGTATCTAGTAATACTGCTTACTGAGCACTGGCATGAACAAGTGTGTGAGGCTTGTGTTGAAAGCTGCCTCCCGTGTGTATCTTGAAGCTCTGTCTCCTGTTTGTCCCATCTAGCATAGCTCATGCAAGGTGCTAAGTTGTAGCAGTTGTTTGCCAGTTAAAGGAAGGGTTCTTGGGGAAAAGTGTTCTGAAGCCAGAATTTGTTTGTTTATTCAGTTACTTATTTTTGAGACAGTGCCCCTCTACATATCCTTGACTGTCCTGGAACTCACTGTGGAGATCAGACTGACCTCGAACTCAGGGATCCCCGCCTCCCTGCCTACCGAGTGCTGGGATTAAAGCCATGTTGCATCATGCCTGTCTGAGCCCTGAAGTTTAATTTTGTTTTATTTAAAGAAGTGACTGTATCTTAAGTTCCTGATTACATATTTGTAAATGAGGAAGTAAAAAACACTTAGAGCAAAGCACTCCAGGCAGATTTCTTTAGTTTGTTGTGCTCATGATTATGGGGCAAGACAAACCCTTCTAACATACCCGGTGCCTTTACCTCTCCCCTGAAAGGTGGGAAGAGCCGTTGCCATGGGGATCTGTCCTTGATAGCAGTGATCCCCCCCCCCCTTATGGTGTGCCACCTGCTGGAAGAGCTAAGGAATATGGTTTCTGGAACTCTTGCAAATATTCAAAGAAAGCAAGAAGTCTCTGGATACAGGAGGAGGAGGGAGTGTGTTGGGGGGCTGGGTGGGGGATAGACGTTTTCTTTCTTCTCTTGCCAGGCAAGGAAAGATGATCCAACTCCTTTCCATCCCTGACCATAATGAAAAGAGACGTAAGGAAAATGGTGTCATTTTCTCATATTATTTCGTGCCCTGTTCGTTTAAAAAAAAAAAAAAAAAAAAAAAAAGGCTGAAGATCTGCGCGAAAGAGTTAAAAATGACCTTTTAGGGGATGCCGTCTCCCCTGGCCTGAAGCACTGCCCGACTCAGCACTTGTCAGTGAATACCAGTTGAATGAATGATTTCTTAGTTGAATGAGTGGTTTCCTGGCTTGATGATAGCCCATCTAACGGTTCCCCCAAGAGCCCTCTGAAGCAGTGATCTTAGGAGTCCTCTTAGGAGAGGAGAGAAATTGTTGAGTGTTTGTCTAAGGCTCTCACTCAGATAGATACCAGGAAGGCTGGAGTGTGGATCTTTTCATTCAGATTCCGTTTTCATCTTCTTAGCAAAAAGATTACTTAAAATTCCATTTTCCCCTGCAAATATGGATGTGTATGTATGAAGTGTCTCTCGAAGTTTGACTCTTGCACATGCTGCCTTTAAGTGCTCCCAGTCTGTGTTTGTGGACTCACCATGCTTCAGCAGACCCACCTAGGGCTGGCCAGAGAGATGGCTCAGTGGTTAAGAGCACTGGCTGCTCTTCCACAGGTCCTGAGTTCAATTCCCACCAGTTACATGATGGCTCACGACTATCTGTAATGGGATCTGGTGCCTTCTGGCTTGCAGGGATACATGCAGGCAGAACACGGTATACATAATAAATAAGTAAATCTTTAAAAAAAAAGAAGAAAAGGTCTACCTATTATTAGTTTTAAGGAGAACCAAAAATGTTCACAGTTCTGTATTACAAAAATCAAACTTCCCTGAAATACAGGACACGTTCATGGCCTATTAATATAATCAGCTAAACTTAGATTTTTTTTTTTTTTTCTTTTTCATTGTAAGACAGTCTCACAAAGCCCAGGCTGGCCTTAAACTCTGTGTAGCTAAGGATGACCTTGAACTTCTTCCTTTTTTTTTTTTTTTTTTAATTTTTATTTTTAGGAGATAGGATTTCTCTGTGCTGTTTTGGAGCCTGTCCTGGAACTCACTCTGTAGACCAGGCTGGCCTCGAACTCGCAGAGATCCACCTGCCTCTGCCTCCCGAGTGCTGGGACCTTGAACTACTTTGATTCTCTTGCCTCACCTGGGTGCAAGAGTCATGCCCAGTATTGTGGGGTGCTGGAGGTCACCCAGGGCTGGGCACTCAGGCAAGCATTCTTCTGACTGAGCTACACCTCAGCCCATGTCTTTGGTAGGTAATAGAATAAGGGATGCAGTTTCTGCTTTGGAAGTGCAAGAATCCTGTCTTCTCCAGAAGCTGAAAGGACTCATGTACCCCTGCATTAGCTTTAGCAAGTTAATCTGAAGAATTGGGAAAGCAAGCCTGCAGTGTCCCGCAGAAGCCTGCAGTGTCCCGCAGAAGCCTGCAGTGTCCCGCAGAAGCCTGCAGTGTCCCGCAGAAGCCTTCAGTGTCCCGCAGAAGCCTGCAGTGTCCCGCAGAAGCCTTCAGTGTCCCGCGAAGCCTGCAGTGTCCCGCAGAAGCCTGCAGTGTCCCGCAGAAGCCTGCAGTGTCCCGCAGAAGCCTGCAGTGTCCCGCAGAAGCCTGCAGTGTCCCGCAGAAGCCTGCAGTGTCCCGCAGAAGCCTGCAGTGTCCCGCAGAAGCCTGCAGTGTCCCGCAGAAGCCTGCAGTGTCCCGCAGAAGCCTGCAGTGTCCCGCAGAAGCCTGCAGTGTCCCGCAGAAGCCTGCAGTGTCCCGCAGAAGCCTGCAGTTTGCTTTTTGGGCTGGCTCCTTATCCTTATACTAGTCATTTTATGACTATCGGGTTATTAGATGGCTCAATAGTAATGTGTCGTACTCTCTTAAATTTTATTATTTTTCAATTTTATATGTGTGGGTTCTTTGCCTGCATGTGTGTACCATCTATATACAGCGCCTGTGGAGGTCGGAAGAGGGCATTGGATCCCCTGGAGTTACATTTGGTTATGAGCTACTATGTGGGGGCTGGGAATTGAACCTGGGTCCTCAGGAGGAGCAGGCAGGGCAGGGCGCTTAACCTCTCTCTGAGCATCTCTCCAGCTCCTGCACTGCTTTCGTTAGTGTTTCCTCTGGAGGCAGGTCACTCGGGCAAAAGAATATTTTAGCCACACCAATTTTAACCCTTTATAACTAAAGGCAAATAGTCCCATCAGCAGCCTTTTTTTTTTTTTTTAAATCAATTTTATTTTATGTGTTTGGTGTTTTGTCTGCAAGAGTCTACTTCTTACCCATGTGCCTGGTGCCGGCAGAGGCCATAAGAAGGGTCAGAAATCCTGGATCTGGAGTTAGAGATGGCTGCCGGGAATTGAACCTGGGTTCTCTGGAAGAGCAACTGGTGGTTCTCTTAACCGCCGAGACATCCCCGACA